AACTTGTTTTTCTACGATACATTTGACACCGCTCATAAACTATCCGTACCTTTTTGTCTCGGTAAAAAGTTTTCGGCCCTCCTAAATTACTTTTATGATTGTAAATGGTCACAATTAACTTCATATCATTACTACTGCTACTTTTTAATCCTGTCTTATTACCGTATTTATAGACGTGGCAGTTAACTAATGAGGTTGTCCAAACTTGTCACTGTGCTTGGCTCGCGCATAGAAGATGTGGCATTGATTTAGCTCTTGTTAAAATAAATCTGACTAAGCGAGACTTCCAGGTTGGCATTTTTGGCTGGAGCACCTTGACATTCTGCATGGATACATTCCAGTGTGTCTACTAATTTTGACAACGTCTGTTTATTAAACATACCTCTAGTTCATCAAATGTCGGCTTGTTAAATTGTTTTATAACACAAAGGTCTGTTGCAAACATTCAGTAAATCTCCGTTGAGATACAGTTAAGGATACTTATTTTTATTTCAGTGCGTACTTCGGGTTTTATTATTGCTGCGAAGATTGTTGTTTTCCAAACATTTACTATTGCGGAAAAATTGGTATACGTTAAAGCGGTCCAAGTCTTAGTCATATGGCTTACATTTTATTGCACTAGTGTTTCCAGATATATTTCCGTTAGAATACGATATATAATCAAATATGGCCCTTTTAAATCATGAGCTTCGTACTTAAATAGAACTCGAGTAAAACTTGTTTGGAAGCTTGGAAACAAACATTGTTATGTTAGATGCTTACCAAGTATTACCTTAATTCATACGTTATAAATCATCCGGACTTCAAAACGGTACCTGAAACCGCAGAACATAAAATTACGGTGCCAATCCTAATTTATATTGATCCTATGCAGGCAGGGGTGTTTCAAAGTGAAGATATGTTTGCCCAAGTTAAAACAATTAAAATCTCTAATCTGAATTAAACTCCGTTTCGTCAACACCAAAATGTGGGAAACTGCTTCTCCTCAAAGCCAAAATATAAATAGCTTTCAGTACAGCTGATAAAAATTTACATTCGGTAACAAAATAATTCAGTTAAATCCCCGTAAACTTAAATGCATGTGGATATTGGTTTAATAAATGAATATTGAAGACAGTGCGTTTTTACACGTTTATTATCCTTTTTTATTCTAAAATTCTAACATATACAACAATGATAACTAACAACCCAATTATCATGGCCTACACACACATTATAAAGTTCAACACATTGCACAGATTGCAGATGACTTTCATAACTGGCACACTACAGTTCTACTATCATAACTTTGCAATAATAGTATTATGATTCTCAGAAGAGAATGACTGGGACGAGTCTTGTTCTGCTGTCATATTGGGAACCAAATCAGTTTTCGCAATGATCTCAGAAGTATTTTATATCTGTCAGACCAATACGAAAACCAGGCTAGTATAGATCAGTCATTAACATTAACTGTCTTTCCCAATTCAATAAAGAAATAGTTTCCGTATCATCGAAGCTGGTTATTTCCTGAATATTTTCAGCAACATGTAGATGGTTTATCTCCAGTTTGGTTACTACCTCAATGTTCAGTACTAAATAACAATGAGAACGTCATACATGTGACTTTTTACATCTAGTGATACGCCTAGGTCATTAGGAACTTGCTCTTTTGATTTTTGCTCGAAGCTATGTATTTATATCTTTTTGTTACCATATTTTAGGCTCTGAATAATGTTGTTATGAATTTCTTTGTTTTGTCTTCACCTCATCCTCCTCAAATGTAGCATTGTTGTCTACTGCCTGTTCTACAGCAGCTCTCCAATTTACCTATCATACATTTTCAAAGCTTTTACCAAAAGCCTATAGTTTTATTTATATTATTTATTCAACTAGTCCAAAGATACAAATATTTCAAGCACCATTCCCAATTATATTTTTGTTAGCGAACGTCGTTTCTCTAGATGGTCTCCTGCTTTCATGCATTTTGTGAGTACGTAATGATGTTTCACTGTCCTCCATAAGCGATGTAAAGTCATGTGACAATATCAGTTTTCAAAATGATCTCAGATAATATATAAACCTGTCAGACCAGAATGAAAACCGGCATCGTCAGGCATGAAAACAAAATAATCCTCCATTTCACTTCCTCCCAGTCTCGAAACCAACACGTAGTTTACTTGACCTATCATTGAAATTAAGGAAAGGATTTCAAATATTTATCTATGAAATTCAAACTTCCAACATGTGTCCAAAGCAATATACACTATTATTATAAAGGAAAATAATCGCATGAACAATATCATAAAGGAAAATAATAGCATTAACAATTATCAAATTATAATGAATGAAATTAAAACCAAATCACACATGAAATATACATGTACATGTAGGAAGTAAAAATGTACTACAAAAATAAATCTTTCATCCGGTCAGATCAAGTGGTTCTCCAACGACACTCTAGAAATAGTACTCTCCACTCTAGAAATAGTAGTCTCCGCATTTTTGGACATCAGATCATCAGTGGCATGCCTAACCAGAAAGAGAAAACAAGAATTCGGTAATGTTTTTACTCCCACATTGCATTTCTAGCAAATGGTAGTGATACTATGGGCTAAACGTGCTTGTAAATCATATGACAGTTAGAGAGAGCAGCAGACAGTGATTAGTGTCACAGTATTTGATTTGTAGACGATATTATCTCCCTAAAATCAGAATAAAATAACCTCCCCCAAGAAAATTCACAATTTGATACATCTAAATTTCAGATTTAACTCAACATATAACAGCTCATAAAAATAAATAGTGGAATAACTGAGATTCTAAAAGAATCGCAAAAAAATCTCTAAATCCCACAGCGGTATATGCATGGAATAAACATTTCAAGAAATATCATTCAAAAGACCGATATAAATAATCCACTAGCATGGGAATGCAAACACGAGAGTTGATTAGGGTTATAAGTGAAGTATCACAGTTTATAACAAAGAATTTACAGTATTTAGATGGTTTATAGTTGATAAGTCCTTCTGTATGATAGATATGACAAGGCATGCTGGGAAACATCAATATCACAAAAAAATATAGATTATCATTTCAAAATAATATTGCTCATCATGTGTAATCATATTTTATATTTAAACATCGATGAATTTGAAAAGTTGTTGGATAAATAAAAAAGAAAAGAAACAGAAACAAAAGAAATTGTTAACTTACACTGCATGCCTAAAGGTATCGAATAAAAAATGATGAAAAAAAATCATTTCCTTATTTGATCAAAGTAGAAGCTTACACACTTTTTTTCCATGCAGACATTCTGTAGAAATATTGTTATGGGATGGACTAATTTATTCTTGCTCAGTGCTGATCATTGAAGTATTTATTTAAGTATAATTACCTATCAAATTCTTATTTAAGTATATAAAGTTAAACACAATACATAGCTAAGACTTTTGAAAAAGAAAAAGAAATCAGGATTTCATTTCATCAGTAATTCATCTTGACGTTTTCTAAACAAACCAATTGTGATTGTAAGACCATTGTGCATACTTTTATCAAGTGAAGTATCATTTATTTCCAATACATTTTAATTACATTCTTTTCACATACTTTTTTCAAATCACACCACAATAGGAAAGTTTTGCAGCATAATAGCTAGGATTTAGTCGGTTCTGAACTTTCTCTCAAATTACGCATGCTTGTATTATCAAGGATATGTCTTTTTGACACATGATAGGTGTGTGCCGCTCAAGTCACAAAAAATATTAAAGATTTACAGACAAAAATGTCAAGATCGCTGAGCAAATTTACATTTGGATCAAAGAGATCTTCCATTCAAAACCAATTCCAATTTTTCAAGAAAGCAAATATGGTTTCATTTGAAATGTGTATCAGGTAGTTGATAGGTCAGACACAAGTGTCATGTGACTGATACTCTTCAAAACGGAGATTAATTTTGAAAACAGCTCTTCAATTCTGAAGATTAGTTAAGTTTGCAGACAACACAATTTTAAATCTTCTGAAATACTTTTGTTTGCAGTTGAAAATCTGTGCATATCAAATATGGGTTTAAAAATTGTTTTCCTGCTTAATTTACTGGCAACGGTCCAGGTTTCATAGCAAGTTTTAACATGGATGTATCAATGAAAACTTTAAAAGAAATATAAATCTACTGAGGTAGCTAAAACCTTCAGTTTTGAAGATTGAATAACATTTAAATTGACATTTCAATTTAGTGGAGTGAAACATTTAAGCAATAACAATTGATTTACAGCATTTAATATTTATGTAAGATTATACAGTTTTTCAATTCAATTTCAGGTAAAGTTATCAATACATCACGGCTAGTTGAAGTAACCAGCTTTCAGAATTGTTAAAAAAGAAAAATTGTGAACCGATTTATGACTCAAAATTGAAGGCGGTTCTCTATTAAGGTTCCGACAAAATAACGATACAGCTAATATCTTTATTAAAAATTTCAATGAATCCGAGTGGCAGTTTGAGATCTCGTTTGATGTTGATAATAACAATTTTGATGTGCAGATGTTAATATTAAAAAACGTTCGTAATATTGGATGATAAACTAATTCGATATATAATAAATAAGACAATATTTGCAATAAATGAGCAGTTCAATCGCAATTTAATTACCTTGCTCCAATTGATGTCATTCAAGTTAAGCAATCATATCTTCAGAGCATATCATTATTTCATAACATATCATAAATAAATGAAAACAATGACATATCATGGGTGGCGGCAATACATTTATCATGTTCTGGGTCAAAAAAGGATACAGTAGAATAAAATTATAAATGGTACATTTTTTACCAGTAAATATTTTTGAAAAGTGTTTGTCACATGATAAAAATGCATTTTAGAAATTTGCTATACTCGATCCTGACTGCTCAAAGTTCGATTATAGATGATAATACCCTAACAAAACAGAAATTCTGCTTCAAATTCAAATCTAAAAATGTCTATTACGTATATAATTGAGTAGTAATATATAGTTTACGTCAAAGATTAGATTTTTAATCATCATATTTCAAGAATACATGTACCGACTTGCTCTTATGGGTCTAATTTTATGTCTGAACATCATGGTCTGTAGGATACAGATTCCAGCTTCACATAAAAGCCAAACCCTGGAAATGAATGACACACCCATCAAGCATACAAACCTGAAATTATAAAGATCACACTAATGTAAAAGAATACAACGAAATTCAATGAAGTCATCAGAATATCTTTTCAATTACTGGAGGGTAAAAATCAATGAAACATGCATATGCATGCATGTAATCAAACCACGCCTTCTTTGACAATAGCAATTAACTAAAATATCCAATAGATCATAAATAATTCTCTGGTATACTGTGTTAGGACATTATAAATTTCAACTTGAATTATCCAATATATTCAAGATGCATATTCTCTAAAACATTACTAAAAGCTTAAGCTCTTTTTTCAGTAATCTAAACTAAAAATTCAAAAAGAGAAATACAATGAATTTAAGAATAAAAAAAACAACTTTATTGATCTTCTAGAAATATTGTTTTGAAAGACTCTTCCAATATTATAATAGAAAAAATTCTTAATTTATTTTAAGTATATAACTTGGTCAGCTTCGTCACAATTTGAGTGCAATATATAATTTATAAACCTACCCTGCAAAACAATTAACCACTGCACACTTACGTAACCAATTTTTAAGCCACCCTGATTCAGATTGTATTTTATAGCAGATGGCAATCTTGAAATATTATTCAAAATTTTTATCTTTGATCTTGTTAAATTTATAACAGGAACGATAAATTCTTATTTTAATATGCTTGCAGTAATTTTTTCATATACTTTATCTTGTCTGAAAAAGTTAAGCGGACGTTCACCGAAATTTGACTGTTGCATCACAAGTTGGTAATAAATTCAACATTGATTCACTCGGTTAAGTAATCACAGCCTTATATGATTATATATGTAGATAATCGAAGCAATTGATGCGTATATCCTTTGCGTACGATTTATGAATGAAATTTTCAGTGGTGGGAAAAGGGTATGAAATAATGTGATATATACGAGAAAAATTAAAATATTGCATTAAAATCTTTTCTGTAGTAAGTTAGAGTTTTGCATATGTTTAATATTCCTTTCAACGTTTTTTTGTTTACGATATATGCATATTGCATTTAAAATTAGTTTTGTGACTTATTCTATAGAAATAGACAAGGAATTTCTCCTTTGAAGTTCTCATGACTTAATTTACGCTGAAGTGCAAGACAGGAGTGCATAACTAGCCTGGTTCTCTCACCTGAAGAGTAAATTCTTTACAGAAGTTCGAAGTCTGTACAAATTAACATACAGATGTACATTACTTACAGCATGGCAAAAGTCTTGGTTACAACTGTATGGACTGTGTATTTATCATATGAATATCAATTTACAATGCAATCTCCTTTTTTGTTGCAATTCATTTTAATTCTTTTACTGTAACTGTTTTCTGTATTTAATCATCTTCTGTTGGAACAGGAACGCGTGTATCTTAAATTTATATCCTGGTTGGATAAGTATCGGAAGAGAGGAGGACACTGGTCATCTAGAGCAGTTATTATTGTTTAATCATTTAAGTTAAATATCTCACCAAGATGAACAGTTTGCAAGTCAAATTAAATTTAACTATAACATGCATAAGTACAGAGTTTTAGAAATTTTTGGACAACTTCAGTTTCTACAAATCTGCAGTATTAATATGTGCACACTGTTTAATTGAAATAAAAATACAGATATTTTTGTAGAAATGGCCAATAACAGAATGATGTTCTGTTTGGTGTATAGGAAGCTTTTTGTTTATATGACTTTCACAGGTGAACATTTGAGAGGATCAAGGTCACGGAATTTAAGACGCATTTATAATTTACATACATTTTATGAATGAACATTAAAGTGATGGGAATTTGAGAAATAAGCAATATAGATCTCTTAAACTGATATAATGAATAGAAAATATGCATTATTCATAATATTTATTTACTTACACAGCATGTTCAAACGCTTCTTGAATATAAAATTCCTGACAAAAAAATGGTTTCACATATCCTAGTGAAAGGCAATCGTTATCCAAAAATCTAAAACACTGCATATCATGAGGCTGATTCATATCTAGATTTTATAATCTTTTACATTCATAAGAAATGCCAAATTATAATCGCAGCATTAAATTTCTTTGACAAGTATCATCAGAATAATTTAACTATACTAGTAAATGTTCATATATTATTCATAGATACTGAACTTTGATCCCATTTCCTGGGTGGATCTTTAAATTTGATAAGATTTCTATTTTAATAAATAAATCATTAAGCCCTTTATTTTGCAGATTTCTATCGAAAGTATACGTGTAAATATTTATAGTTTTTTTTAAAGCTTTTGGCAATGGCACCTTTACATATGGGAGTGGTCATACAAAATTTAATTCAATATTAATTCCATTTCATATTAAATCGTTGTGGTTCAAACTATATAAACTGCTAAATATCCTTGATTTATTTTGTAAACACCAAACCAAACCATAGCCTTGGAGTACTTCATTAGCATCTTTGCACAAAAACAGTTTTAGTGCTACAAGTAGAGGGAGGTCCCATGAGCATCTTTAAGTGATATATAAGTAAACCTGTACTTTAATTGTTGGCTTCTCAACTTTTGTATTTTACTACTACAATCCCTTAGATATTTAGTAAGCCCAAATCTATCACACCTTATCATGGTAAGGTGTAGCATTGGCTCAAGACATCATCCGGAAGTAAAAATATAAATGTGTTGCTTATTAAACCACAAGTAAGCTAGCCAAAACATTGTGGTAACCACAAATAATGCAACCAGTCAATAGCAACCTCGGCGAAGGCCAACATCACTTAATATAAATAGACCCCACCCTACCAGGACATTTGGGTGCTTAAATACCAGATAAATGCCCCATCAACGTAAGTAAGTATCCCTAATTTGAAACAACACAGAAAGTGGCCAAACATTGGAGGAGGATCAGAATTGACTCTCTAAAGACATCAACTTGAATCTCTCTACTCAAGTTATTGCTAATATATAAACCAGATAAATATATGTTGTTGTATCTATTATTAACATAGGTAACATGGTAACTTTGACCATCAAAATCATATAATTTATTTCAATGGTTTAAGTAAATTCATTCAGTTTATTTACAGTTTACAATAAACTTTCTACATTTTGTAAACATAAATGTTAGATTAATCCAATGTTTCCTACATGTATATGTGGTATCTATGACAAGGAGATTTACAACTTCTTCAAATGTATGTTTGTCATATCTATATAACTGTGAACAACTCTGAATGCCAATTGTTGCATGTCTATGCCAACAGGGTATGGGTCAATGCAGCCTCCAACACTAAACAAGTACCAGTTAACTGGCTATTAAATTTTTGTACACTGTATATTGATACTGAAACCCCTTTGACTACTAATGGATTATTCTGAATTCAAAAGCAAGGTAAGTCCATTAAACAAATTCAGCAGGGTACAGAGTATCATTATTGTAAATAAATAAAGAAGATGTAATAATGTAGAGACATCTGCTTGTTTAAACAGGGTTAATATATGCAGTAGATAAAACGGTTAGATTTCAATAGCTATATATTTATAGACATACTAAATATGTATTATTAATCAGCCAGGCAACTTGATCAACAACATTATTATTGTCAACAACAACAACACCTCACATAAATGTTAATAATCTAGAACACTTTACTACCAAGCTGCTGTTTGCTATTTTATCATTATAAATTTATTCTCGTTTTCAAGCATTGTAATTTTATTTTTTTTAAGCATGGAGATTTCATACATAAATAGCTATAAATCTTCAAAATGTTTTGCAAACTGACAAAAAAATGTTTAAATATTATAAAGGAATGTCGTTTTTTTCCCCTCCTGAAGTTTTTCTCTAGAATAAAGAGTTTGTACTTGCCTGGTTTCAGCAAATTGAATTTTTTCAAATTTCTCTGTAATTTTCAACACACTGCCATCTAGACTTATTTATGTCTAACTGTAGAAGGTTTTTGCTACATTAATTTCTCACATAACCGCTGTGTCTTTCCAGGTGGACTTTGTCAAAAGTAATTTTCCTGGTCAAAAATGCAACATTCTGCTAGACTTCTTAGATCAGCCCAGCATGTGAAATTCTACATGAAAAAAAAAACTTCCTCATGCACGAAGCTATTTTTACCACCACTTGTATATATTTCTGATATCAATCAACTCCATTTAGTTTTATTTGTTTTGTTTTCATTGCATTTTTTTTTCTTGTGAGAGCAGATTTTTTTAGTTAAAATATAAGCATTATTTCAGGCAAAAGCTCTACCCTGCTGAATTTTTGTTATGGATTTGCCCTGCTTTGAATTTGGAACAGTCCATTGTTTGTTTGCGAGATTTTGATGTCATATTGATAAAATTGTGCAGCCTAAACTGTACAGCTTGCCTATATGTATTAATAAACAAATCAATACCAAAATGGTTTCAATTTGCATAGATTAACAGACTGGCCAGGCACAATAAAAAAATTGAGACTCATCCCAAACTCTCCTCACCCCTCACCCCCCCCCCAAATCAAAACAAGCTTTTAAAATCTGTCTGCCATAAATGTCATCTTTGAAGTTACATATGATAAGAATTCTTCATTATGAAAGGGACAATGTAATTAATTACCTAATTTTGGACTAATTAGGTGAAAACTGACATCTAAATGAAATTAAATAACTATCTAGAGTAGCCCTACTACATTAAATTTTGGGTTTTGAAAAGTTTTAGCCAATCATTATTACTGTTGGCATTCTATAACAGACAGATTTTGCCAACATTTATACTAAATCATGAATATTAGAAATTTTTTTTATTAATCTTTCGGTTCAGAACTTAACGGCAAATGTGTGGTTTTCCCCATCTAATCCCAGGGTACAAACAATTACTGTTATTACTTCACATGCACTACCATTTACAATAAAGTGGTCACCACATTGTGCTTGTTATCAATATATTTACCAAGTTGTAACTTTGTACCTCAGGATTAGACGGGGAAAACCCACATTTGCCGAGTACCTTAGTACCTCTATTAACAAAATTATGTCCCACACATTATTTTAAAATTGTATTAAGATTCAGTGTAAGATTCTGTATGTTTATTACATTAATATCAACAGAGCAAACTTAACTAAAGTAGAATCATTCTGTGCAGTTATTTTGGATGTTGTCAAATAGTTTTGTTTTTTGTACTGTTAATATCCTTGTTCTTATTAACATTTGTACTAACCTAGTATTTTGTAAAACAATTCTGGTTTACGATCAAATAGTTTTAATTCTCTCACTTTTTGATATTATTGGTGCTATTAGAAACAAATTTCTTTAATTTGTATTTGCATGTGTAGAATGACAGTTGCTTGAGAATGCATTCCTGTATTTCAAGCTGTGTACTGTTAAATTGTTTTTTTCTTTCTTTAAACTTTGTCTTTGACAATTAAGTTAATGTTTTTCTTCTTTTTGCACAAATCTAATGCATATTATATGCCTGATGAATGAATAAAATCTTGAAATCTTCTTTTTGTTTAATTCATTATCATGTAACAAAAACATGTTTTTAAATTGGCTGACATAAAGTCACCATTCTGGCATACAATTACGTGTAATGATCGATTTGTAACAGTACTAAATTATAATTGTTACATTTATTACTTGTTTACGAAATATTTAATATTCCAGTGTTAATTGTCTCTGCTCCCAATGTCAAACATAAAATTCTCATATAAAATTTTCATCACTAGTACAAACAGTAGCAGCATTTTGTTACGATTTCTTAAAATAAAATTTATATGTAACCTAAAGTATTAAAAGTTATGTTTTTTCAAGGTAACCTCGGAGATGAAATAAAGCTCACCGCTTCATTCTATTGTCTTTTCTACATTCTTTTCATCTCTTCTGACATAATTTATTACATCATTTAATATGCAAAGTAATAATTATTTCAAACAATAACTCATGTCACTTGATACATTTTTTACATAAAAAAAAATCAATTAAAGTTAAGAAACAAAACTATAAAGTTGTTTTTAAGTTTCAAAGTAACCACAAAAGTGTATCTAAAAATTATTAAGAAAAGTTAAAAATAATTGTGCTATCAATTTCAATTTTCATTTAAATGTTTTGTTTGTTTGTTCATTTTCTTAAATGTCAACTTTCTGAATGCTCACACCCATGCCACCAATATAGACTCAGGCCGGCCTGAATACCACTGCAGTTTGACTGATGGCTACTCAGGTTTATTGTTTCTTTTATTGCAGTCCTTCAACCTTTGGAAAACACAACTCCAATTACAAAACAGGAGGACAAATTATATAACACAAATTCAGCAATGTCTCTATGGCAAAGAAATACTGGTACCAAAAATACCAGTCTTTCATACCAAACACCTTATATATCACAGATCATATTAATCATTCTATAATGGTTATATAAGCTGAGTAATTCACATTCTTCTGCTTGACAATGTGAGAGGAGGGGGGAAAACAAATGTGGGGCCTCCCCTTAAATCATCAACCAAATGTTTCTTGTCAGGCAATAAAACAGGAATCAACATGTTGTATAGTCTATGAGAGGCCATGTTTGAAATATTTCATGTAATTGCAGCCTGATTTTATCTCTTTTCATGTCTACTTAGTGAAGATAAAAATCTGCCCATGAAATACTCTCACATTAGGGTCTCCGGCTCTCTACTGCATCCTACATGAAATATCTGCCTGTCATATACAAACATTAACACTTGCACTGTTTCTATTCACTGATCATATAAATCATTAACGGCAGTGTCTCAACATTTACAATCAAAGACCCCCTGCTCTTAGAACATGGGCCCATCAAAACCATGTAATAACTGCTAGTTATTAAGATGTCAATCAAACTAATTAATATGGTTACAGGGTTCTACATTTCTGATGTTAGTCTTTAAAGGGACTACACTGAGGTTTTTTGAATGTTAGGTTAGGACTGGAAATTTTTTTTTTCCAGAGACTTGTGTTCCATTTTAGGTGTGGAGTAATGATGAGCAAAATTTCAGATCCTTCACATAGTCCAACCTTGCAGAATAATAATTCAATTTATACTGAAAAATGACATTAAAATGAAAAGTAAAACTCAATCCTTGTTAAGGATCATTTTCAATTTAATTTTGAGTAAATTTCTGTAATATCTTTTGAAAATCTTTTAGTTTCAAGTGCCCCAGTTGATCTATATAAGAAATTCAAATTTATGTTTTAGGCTTTTGGACCTCAGTGACTTGTAGAGGAAATTAAACTGAAAAAACTTCTGTTGGATGTAAATGTAGATGTGGAGTATTTGATATAATCTAAGGTGTTTAAAGTTTAACAATAAATACTTCAATAAAGGTTGATTCAAATCTCAAACATTTATTTTAGTTTGGCTTTCATGTTGTTTTTGTGGTTCTTTTTAAACTTCCTTAAAGTGATTTTTCAGTCCAAAGTCACACCCAGCTATAATTCAAAGAAAATAATGGTACTTTGTTTTTCTCCCTTACCTTTTTTTCTACTTCTAAGGTTGACCAGTGAGCATTTTCTTTTCATTCTTTAAAACTCAAAAGTCCTGAAAAGACAAAATGGACAAGACATATTTATCATGCAAATCAACAGGATGTCAAAATGCTTTAGGAAACAGATAATTTTTCAAAAAGTGAAACTCCCGAGTTGTAAATATTTTCAGCTTTCAGTTGTTTCCTGCAGTCAAAGACCTACATGATTGGCCCCCAATAAACCATGCAAGGTCCTTTGGGACAATTTTTCAATCATTGGGTCAATTTCCCTCATTTCCTTGTAAATGAAATTGGTTCCAGTCAATTAACAGGTGCTTGTTGACTGGTAGCAGATAATTCCAGTGTAACTGTTAATTAGAGTTTGGTGTCATACTCAGTGGGTGGGGGTAATGTTCAACAAACAAATCCATTGTAGGAAGTGCATAAGTAAATTCAGTGTTTGAAAATATTTCAGATAACAATAATCATGACTTTATTGAAGCAAGATGGTAGCAACACGTCAAATAATTTTGAGATATATTACTTTTTTTGTACAAAACTGGCACAATCATGAATTTTACTAGAACACAGTTGGTTTTCATAGATTGTTGTACTGATTTTACATGCCTGCTGAAATGAAGTATAGAACCATACATATAATGGAAAAAAAAAATCATGAAAATTTTAATCTACTCTGGTATTTAGATATTTGTTTTTACTTGTTTCCAATCCCTTTGGTCAATCACGCTTCATCAATAATGTGTCTGAAACTAATAACTAATCATTACCTACTTAATTTTTCTTTGTGGGCATTTTTACACTTAACCCCTAAATATCTTAAATGGACTTGTCCATCATTCAACCATTTTGAACTTGGTTTGCACTAGTTGCATTGGTTCTAAAATCACTGGCTGCCAGCATGCTAAGGGTTTAACTGCATTTTAAGCTGTCATCTTACTTTTTGAAAAATAATAAAGAGGTCAAAAGATTTCAAGTAATGATCTCGCATATCACAGGGATGAATACCTTATACAAATCTCTCATTAGCTAGAAAATTAGCATAAATTAGTATCATTTAATTGTCAGAGGCTGCTAATTAAACCAAGATGGCTCCTCACTCTGTCATGAGAAAGGATAAAAGAAAAGTCACCTATTAAGGAAGTTTTTTTTCCCTAAAGCATTATTTATATCAAGTTTTTAATTTCTATCAGCAAACTAAGTGCTCCGGATTTTGTGAAGCGAAAGAAATGGGGCAGTTAATGACACCATCGACAAATTCTGTCACTTGGAAAGTCTATGTTTTTTTGCATCTCAAATTTATCCTCTCCCATGCTGATGTATTTAATGTCAGAATGATTGTTTGTTGAAAAATTAATCAGGACATATAAGAGAAGGCTGTTTAAATGACTGATTGGTCTTTATTTTAATGGTATTAATAAATTCAATTTTATTTACCTTTATATGGATTTAAATGTCTATAAATGTATCTTTATTGCATAAATAATGGCACGCTACTTTATATCCTTGCGATACAAAACATGTGTGAATACAGTCAACAAAATAATGAACATGAAAAGTCATGTGTGAACCCCACATACAGCTTCTTGACAGTCCAGTTGTGAACACTAACCCCTACTGTGAACACGGTCATGTGTGAACACAGCACTGATCCATTATATCACAGGCCATTTGTGAACATAACAGTGACATTGGATAATATTTCTTCGCTCCAGACATGATGCTGTCGCATGCAGTTCTCATGAAAGTGTATTTTTTTCTTGTTCGCATTTAACAAAATTGTTAAAAAATTTTTGTTGCTATTTGTGAAAACGTGTAATTATGAGGTTTCGTGGTACGACCTCCAACACTTCGGGGCTTTGAGTTGACATCAAGTGCAATTCGTGAACAAACACTCGTATTAAATTAACCAATGGTTTAACAATAGGACCAGATATCCTAAATTCTCTTACCCTCTCAAGCCCTATGTAAACATCTACACTATTGTTACAGTAATATTTGTATAAAATTTTAATAAGTCAAACCTAAGAATTTCAACGGAAACTACTCATTATCCACTGGAAAGATTTAAATTCAACAAGCCGGCAAAATAACACATTTAACCAAATATTATTTTCTTATCGCTAATAAATTTATTTCTCTTTGTGTGAATTCAAAACCGATTTTATCAATGCGTTTAACAAAAGTCTGCGGGTTAAAGGGCAAACAGGTAATGATAGGAATATATGTTTACATTGAATCTCATTTTCTTTCATTTATAGTTGGCGATGATTATTTATAAGACGTTTATTTAAACTAATATTTTGTAATTTATGAAAATCAATTACTAAATAAACTCCGTAACAATATGAGCACCAGTTTTTCATCCAAGCACGCTTTTTGAGTTAAAAGATTTAATTTCAGTGTTTGAATTCAAATGAAACAAATTTTGTTATCTATTCATATCCCCTACCCTTCTTTCTTCAATAATTCCTTTAAAACGTTTTCAATCTTTGTACAAATATCAAAAACACATCAAATTTGTAGCATTAGGACTCTCAAATAATTAGAAAATGTGATATTTATAGGAGTTGTTTGAACTTGGCATCACCTTTATGGAGACATACATGGTAACCCACTATACAAATACCTGTAATCCATGTCCGCCCCAGTTAAAACCTTAACCATCCTGTCTGTTTTTCATCCTTTTATTTTTTTGGAGAAAAAAAATAATATGTTTACAACATAAAATAAAATTTTAAAACTTTTAATAATACTTTTTACAGTTTCATTTTGTCATTGTTCAAGGGTTTAGAAAGTTCAGTCAAGATTTCCATCTTATAATTCAAGATGTCAGAGCTCAAGAATGCCTTTAGAGCAATATCAATATATATTTAACAAATGAATAAAACACAGACCCAGAAATTCCTCATAAAATAAATGATGGTAAAAGTTATTATATTATGAAATTTGTGTAAAACATATTTATAACTCAGATAGTTGCATTATTGTTACATCTTTTTAAACATTTTTGAAGTAATCTTCATATTTTGAGGTGTTTATGAAAGAAAGGACTCAGAGTACTTGGTGTTTAAACCCTTAACTTGCTGAATTTCTTAAATGGACTTGTCCAGTTCCCATTTTTTGGATATGTCCATTTTAGGGATATTAAGATGAATATTAAACGTTAAGCAGCTGATAGTAAAAAGCCTGGTTGGACAGCACAGATGTGTTCTAAACTGACATCAATGGCAAATTATTTTCAGTTTCAGCATGGCAAGTGTTAATACAGTTTCCATTGACAAAACTATTTTACACTAACTTAATAAGATTCTTGTATTTTTTACTTGCTTGAAGTTTATATTCCAAAGATGCTTAAAGAAGTGCATCCATTTCTATAATGATGTTTATTATTTTACATGAATTTGGTAGGTTTTTATACACTGGACAATAGGAAACTATTTAATTCTGCTGTCACAGTTACAGTTTTATTTGTTGAAAATGATACTGCCATGGCACATTTGAAAGCAAAAACCCCGCTCATATAACCATCATATAGCATGTTGTCTTGGTGCATTGTTCTCACTAATGCAGTCAAGTGTCTATGCAAAGTAACGATGACACCAGCTCGTGGTAAGTTGTTTAGACGTGTTGGAAAAATGTCATAATGCAATTTTCCCTCAACACTGATGTAGATATAATACAAAGTAAAATCTTTATGACATTGACATTTTCATTTTCACAAAAGAAAAATCTTTTGTTTTTTCCCCCCTCAAGTTTTCTTAAATAATGCCCGAAAGTTTTCTTAAATAATGCTCTCACTGAACTTTCAGAACTTGTAACAAATTTCAAAGTAATTTGCATTATCTTTTTACATTCATGACATTTTCATTTGAACACAAAACATTATATAATCTTGGTTGTTTTGTTTTAGCTTTTTTTGTCCCAACATTTCATGCGACTACACATCATAAACTATTTAAAATAACTGTCTACAGCTGAAAAATATTTTACTTTAAAATGGAGAAATTCAGTCAAAAATGTTTTACTGTTGACAATACAATGGTGCTTTCAAAGTTCAAACTGTGCTCAATAATAGAAACTAAGTATAAAGGATATAACCTTGACCTTGTACTAAACAATGACCTCCAGCTAATGAATGACCTTGTACAAACATTATAACCTTGACCTCTGAGAATGCATATTACCAAAAATGGCATATATATATATACATTTTTCAAAAAAAAAAAACTATAATTATGGCATAAAGTAAGTCTATAAATGTGAAAATGCAGTTCATGTACCCTAACATTTTCATGACGCAATCATTACCATGGTAACAGTCATCTTATGTGCTACAGAATATGACATTTTGTGTATCTTTCACTGATGAAAAAATTATCATGTTAAGATGGAAAAAAAATGTCATTTTCATGATAATTTTAACTAAGAAATATCTGGCAATATTTATTTTTATATATCACATGAAATATGTGAATTTCCATGTTTACATGACGTTAAACCATGTTTCAGCAGGTTGTATGCCGTTTCTTTAACAAAAAAATTCAACTAGAATATATACAAATTTCCAGCCAATTTTTGTTTTCTCGCAACTTTTCATCGTGTTTCCACAGAAAATGATAATAATGTGACATTTATTCATGTTTCTAGCCATGTCTATGTCTAAAACATATCATATATTTATGCTAATGTTTGTGGGTGATGGCTTAATTATAATTTGTAAATTGTGCAATTCCTGCGTCATTGAAATAAAAAGTAAACAACCGCGCGCAATCATATGTATGCCATAATAAGACAAGATTAATTACGGACACAATAACAAAATAAAAACCACATTATTTTTCAAGTTCGTGAAAAAAATAATTCAGTTTGGTTTCTATCAAGCTGTTAATATGTCAAAATTTTGATAAGTAATGAAGGAGTTAAAATTAATTAAATTGAGAATTATGCAAAAATATTTGATACATTTGGTTGCAATAACGCGGACAGGACAGATCTATCAAAGTGTCAAATTATGTTGAAGTAAGAATTTTTCATACCATGAATGGATCAGGTTAGAGAGAACGGCAATAAAGGACGTCACTAATTATTATTCAAATTATACAGATTAATGATTGCATAAATTCCAAAAACCGAAAGAAAATGACTTTCTAATGAAATGCACTTTTCAAAGATGCATCGTAAAAATTGCACTGACGTCATTCAAGATCATTTGCCATCGAAGCAAAACAAGGGTTAAGCCAAATTCTTTGACCCCATGATATTGAAGTACCGATATGATTTTTTGACATTTAACAAAATTTCACTTTAAGGACATAAGTTGAATATCACTTTCCTTTCATATAATGTGAAACTTTTTATCTAAAATTAAAGTATCAAAATCTGCAGCATGCTTTTTGACAAAAAGAAATCACGATGCTTATTTCATAAAGTAGCCTGATGTAACTTAATGGCAAATGACACTGACAGCTTCATCAAAATATACGACTTAAAAGGTTGAACTTCAAAACTAACAATACTTTGGCGTTTTTGACCACCCAAAACGCTACGCCTTTCTGAATATATATATAGACATATCAAAACATTTTGCGGGGCCATATTTTTGCTCGATTATGACAGGTATACAAATACATATCTTGATTACGATCAACAACTTTTTAAGTACGCTCTAAAACTGAAACCAATCTCAATTCTCCGTGACAAGACTTTAATACTGTTTAATATCATATTTTAATATAATCACAATGTTATCTCACATCATTAAAATCTTATCCTCCACTTTGCTTTATTAAGTAGCGCAAAAACTGTCAAAAATATATTTTATCGTGTCAATAATCTACTATCGCAGACTTGAAACTTGCTAGTATAGAGTGTGGTCAACTTTAACATGTGGAACGCGTGTTTAACTTTGTAATGGTTAAGTGTAGACAATTGATCAGCTCCGATATCAAAGATTATCTTGGTCGATTAAAATCAGTCACAACGATTGAAAAAATCTTAAAGCTATCTCGCAATGTTATCTATAAATAAATTATTCAGCTTTACTGCCTGCTCATTTTAATGCGTAAAGACGACACAAAACTTTGTAAAGCTGTATATTTATGCTCGGTAATTAATCAAAATCCAGGTAGAATAAAAACACGAAAAATCTTTTTTTCCAGAGGATTTTTGTCAAATATATTTTGAAGAAAAAGAAGAAAAAGATGTCATTAAAATAACAAAATTATGAGTCAGATAAATGTTTTCAGGTAGGAAGTAGCACTTAGATCTTCTTCAAGATAAAAGGGATATCAGTTTTGTCATAAAAATATGTGTGCCCCTCTCTCATAGGGGGTCAAATGGTAAAAAAAAAATCATATTGGATGATTTATGATGCAATAAAAGTACATAGTTCAGTCTCGAAATTTTGAAAGAAAACCCAATAATTATGCCATTTTTATGGGGATGCATTCAATAATATATTGACCATTTCACAGCCTTGTATAAAGGTCATTAAGTTCACCAAGCATTGTTGTTGTTGTTTATTCATTTCATTTGTTGACACCATTTTTGTTACTTTACCTACAACAAAACATCAGAATTCTTTTTTAAAGACACCAATTTTTTAGATTTTTCTTTTCTTACTGAACACTAAGCATATAAAAGTTAAATACAAAGTGGAAATATAATTTATAAAGATTGTCATTTAATCATTCCCTATCCCCTATAGTCTCCCTCAATGACATCATTTTAATTTCAATCAACTGTTAATAATGTATAATGTTTTTGACACTTTCTTGCAAGCCATTAGGCTTATCAGCATTGAATGTATGGGGCATTTGACATCAATATGCTAATCACACTCAGCTCAATTTAATGTAACAAAATCCAATCATGACCTTGATGCTTAAACCCTGTACAACTTACCTCACTACATTATAGATACAACATTTCTGCAGAAGTTGTACAAATTTAAGGTTGTACACACTAGAATGTGAAATGACAGCCTGGAATTTCATGGAATGACATTTATTAACCATGAAAATTGTAAAATGAAGGACATTTATATGACATTATGGATTTCTTATTGTAACTTATCACAAAATCATTCTGATAAGTTCCTTTGGTTACTACAGTAATAATTTTCGTTAACATGTCACAGACAAGGTAATATATTAATCATGATAAACAATTATACGCCTATAATGGTAAATAGGAAAATTCTGTCAATTTTTGCTTATAATGTCAGTTTCTCTCTAACTGATTTTGTAATGGATTTGTCCTGCTATGAATATGGAACAGTTCATTACAAATTACAGGGATGTTTTATTTAAATTTCTAAAACTGAGAATCATCAAATCCAGACTCTTGCCTGTGAATGTACAAATGTTTCAGGTTGGTTCATTATTGCAAGTGTCTTCCATATTTGTTCCAGATGCTCAAAATTGATCATCAAATTAATACCAGCAGAAAAAGATGGTAGTTCATACTTGAATAGTGCAAATTGAAGTCATAAATTTTTCTCTGTCAAAACAGAATTGAATTCTGTACAATGCCATGATTGAAGAGAAAAATAAACCCCAGACAAAAAGGATGTGAAAGCTTTTAACACATGATAATCTTTTGGCCAGCTTTATTTACGATTTATTTTTTGCAGCAGACAACATAAATAGTTACAATATGTCTAAATATAGTTTTTCGTTAATGCATTACCATCACTGACAACACAAATACCCACCCTAAAGCTATTTTTATCCGTTGACATTAGATACAGTCCTGAAAGTTCATCATTTTTAGCCCGTCTTCATAATAACATACATTTAAACAGTCTATTGAGGTGGATTTTTCCACCCCCTTGCTCTTAAATCAAGTTTAGTTTTTATATGAAGGTGGTGACCTTTGATTTACTGTTCAAATATAGCGAGACACACCCAGCAAATAGTACCAAATGTTTATATACAAATTGTCTATTTATTTATCTTTAAGTGTTCCTCAAAAGCTCATTTTTGGGGATTTTTCTTCATTTTTTTTAAACGATCTATTTTTATTTCCTCCACAAGAAGTGGCATCTGCGAATTAACTGGTAATGTAATAGCATTTATCTTGTGTTTTACCACCGCACTTATAGAAGACATGAAAATATTTACCCAACGGTCTTAATCTGTATAAAAGCAGAAATGTTTCAGACGGACTAATTCGTAAAAACAAATACGGTTTCAAGTGCTTGTTTAAGAAATAGTAAAGTTTTATTTTGATATGTCTGTCTTTAATATTTAAAGAAGATCACGTTCTCAATTACCATCAATATTTGTCAATCATATCTGATCATGTTGATATATTTTTTAAAATTCCACGATCACCCCGATATTGTTGGAATACCGACTATTCGAGATTCGTCTTAAAAATCATGTCTACCTACTTGACATGCAATTGCTATTTTAAAATATTGCTGTTATTTTCCCTTTTAACTTTACTTGAAACAGATCATTAAATTTAAGACCATACTTCACATCATGATCACTTTACTTATCTTTTTTCAAGCAACAAAGACACTGTAAATGTTGTATGGGTGGAGGAAGACATCAAGTTTTCCACCATGTATGATTATTTCAGGCATTAACAAACAGGCACCCAAGTACAACCACCAACCTTATACTACCTGGATAGCTTCCTCACATTTAAGAAACCCAGGACTCGACCTAACAGTGGTATGGGGACTGAAGAATAAAGTCAGCAACTTCAGCAAATCAGTTTATATATAATTATATTCATGTGTCAACAAAAAGGTAAAAATTATACCTATGCACGGTAAAGCTGTACAACTCCCGGTGAGCTAACAAGAGGAATGGATACATATTTACTACCACTCCTTTTCTTGGCACTTTCTGTAAAATCTTTTCAACCTCTGCAGTGCTTTTGATTAGTTGTATGAAAAAAAACTTCCCCTAAAAACAGAAATTAAAGCACAAACCTGCATATCTGTCTGTCTGACTCCCATTTTCTTCTGTGAATTATTCCATCACAAACAACATTGGAGGACGTTGACATTCGAGAAGATTGCAATTATTCCTTGATCCAAACATGCCCATAAAGATGAAGGATATCTTCACTCCAGCCAGTCATAGTTACTGTGTCTGTAATAGTAGAATATTAATGTCAGGGAAAATATGAGTAATTACATATTTTTTTTCAGCTGATATTACAAATAACGTTTTAAATGCATGTAAAAAAAAAAAAGAAACACTTGTAGAGTAATATTTTATAATAATGTAGATAAGTGTATTGATAAATAAATAAAACAAAACACTTATAATTCCTGTATATATATCGGCACAGACAACAATTCTTGGGGAAATAGCACAATAATTAATTCATAGGCATATTCTAAAATCAGTCTGTGAGTAAGCTATGACCTCCTGCGGAATTGTTGAATAAGTCTTGTGATGAAAACAATGATTCAGATTTGGGAAATAAGACGTAAAAGACGGCTGAATTTTGGGAAAATATTATTCATGTTTTATAGTAGTGGCTACATCCTGTATTAGTAATAGAACTAAAGTCTCAAACTCCAGAAAACCCCCCTCCCCCACCTCCGCCTCAACATTTGACTCATTTTCCTCATTATTTCAAAATGTTTAACAAATACATGAAAAATTTATCACTGGTATGAAAAGTGAAAGAGCTTAACTGAGAGCGAGTAAATTATCACCTGTTTATAAATATATGTTAAATTGTCTATTTTAGCGAAATATCAGAAATATGTTTCGGCCCGGACATTATCGTTAAAAAGACATTCGATATAACAGTTATTGGATATAAAATACATATTACTATAATTGTATATGACTTTTTACATTTTTATTGCATCCTTCCACGTAGTAAATTCTATAAAAGGAAATTACGCGTTTATTTTCATCCAATTATCTGAACATATTTTAAAACATCAAATTTGGAAGCAGAATGCTTTTCCTTTAGTACTTTCAAATAAATGGTAACATATTCTTTAGAAATTTTATGAAATCTAATATTTTCCCATGTTTTCTTTGCCAAATATTTTCATCTGCTACAGAATGAATCAACAAATATTTTGTACACACAGGAGAAAGTTATGGCACAAATACATCAAAGGTTTCAGACCTCTATTCTCAAATTGAATCACTCACTCATTTTTTTACTAATTAAAAACTTGTAAAACAATATAATCTTGACTTTTTTAATAAAACCATCAAAAACAACCTTTTAAGCCAAGGTTCATATTGCACAGGTGGGCGTGTCTGTATACAACCACCCAACAGGGAAGGTAACCCAACCCCCTCATTAGTTAAACCACTCAGACGAAGTACACCCTGAAGCCCTTTCCAGACCCTTAACCCTGAAAGAGACTTTGGGGCTGCTTTAGTGCTCTCAGGTGTCCAATTAGGACCAATTAAGGGTCAAAGGAGGAGAGAAATCCAACTTGAAAATCAATTTCCATGAACACCTTAGTGGTTAAATTGAAGCGCTGCTCTCTTGAAATTAGAGAAACTAGAAAATTTCTATACAAAGGAAATGATAATTATTTTGTTATTTTCCAAATCAGCAAATTGACAAATTCATTGACTGTACAATTTGAGGCGATATATGTTATTACTGCCGGGGTAAAAACAAGACACAGAGACAGGTGGTTTTTACTTGCAGAGTTATGCACACCTACTCATACAGAAAGTCGTGCTCTTGCTGTCGGCAAAACATGCGAAAAAATTCGCAAAGTATGACAGTTTATCATTCCCTTCCAACTTACATTTGAAAATTAAAACTGAAGTTGACACACATACAATCATATAACATGCGTGTTCACATAACAAGATTATTCAAATATGTTGCAAACAAAAATTAACGCATTATTTTCGAAAATCAGCAAAACTGAAAACATCACAAATTTCAAGACGCCCAATGTTCACGTTTGAATAAAAATATTTCTAGTTTATGACTCATAATATTTTAAAACGTTTAGATATTTGAAGGGAAAAAAAAAATAAGCAAACAAATTCACTTGTTTCACACGCTCGGACATTGCAAAAAACAAAAAATTGCATATCTGAACTAATCGGGCGAGAAAACATTATTCAAGTGAAATGTTTTCTAAAAACAAAGGTACGAATCCTAACCATTAATTAGGTGATTGGCCATTCAGTTAATTGAATCATTAGCTCACTAATTGAAACCAATTTGTAACAGGATAACTATGATCTTTTACAAAAAAACACTTTTTAACATTGATTTTCTAAACAAGTGTTTCTATAAGCATGAATGAAAAGATTTGCTTAACATAATATATATCACTGTCTATTAGTTTCTGTTGATGAACTAAGATCTAAGATTAATTCAACAATGGACCCCATGCTTTAATTGTTACTTTCAAACTTCATTAAAATACTTGCTTTTGTTTCTTTCACAAATATATCTTAAGTACCAAAAGCGTTTATGGCCACCAGTAACAAAGGGGCAATTTTTCAGCAATTTTGATTCGAATCTCAACAAAGTGATATTTTCACTCCGATTTAGATCTAGTCGATTTTTTAGAAAGATTGACTTTTATTGCGTTTAGCATAAATGTGCATGATTACCATCATGCAATTATCTTGATTAGAAAATCGTCCTGATGTAACTGCATTTGTCAATGCTCACTGAACGTCTTTTCAATCAGAAATAATTAAGACGTACAGATAGGCAAGCACAAACTTGTTACTCATTTCTCATATAGTGACCTGAAATACAAAATTTTGTAATTTTCCAATTATTTCTAAAGAAAAACTGTAGTGTAGCTACTTTTCCAATAAAATTATTTTTTTCTTGTAATATGAAAAGCTTTCTTAATTGTTAATATTTCACTTAATTAACATATGGAGTTTGTTTTGTACCATTTTAAAAGTCACTAGATAATTTGTAAGTAAAATGTCAAAAAAATGGCCCCTCATTAATGAACATTAACTTATAACGTAAAAATCAGTAGTACTAATGTTTTCATCGTAAACTTGACATATTCAATCTTACAACCTATCATTTTAAATCTCCCCACCACTTCTTAATCTCTAAGTCAACTCAGTGAGTCGGAAAAATAACTTTTACCGTAACGATTTTAAAATTCTATGTTCATGCAAATCACCGATTGATGGCGAATTAATTTTGTATTATTTTGGACGCAAATCAAGATGATTATAGCAATATGGCATTTAAGATCAACTGATGGAGATTGATACAGAAATAATATCAGTTTCATTTTCGACACAAACGTATATTGAATCACCCAACAAATGTACCGTTACTTGGGATAGTGTTTCAGTGCACCTAACTGACAGCAAGTTACTCTAGTAATTTGCATGTTTTTATGGGGCCATATACGGCCACCCGTAAAAAGATCGCGAGCATTTTGTGGTCATTTTGTGGCTACTTTTACAGCGACTATTGCTCACCTGGATACTCTGAAGAAAAGAATTAACGAGGCCTGAAATGACTGGTCAAAATATATCTCCTGACATTTAGAATGATCATGTGTTTTTCTTTTATATATATAAATTTTTTGAGTCACATCATTACATTTTTTATAGTCCTAACTCAACTTCCTTCATCAGAATCTAGGTGACTCACAATAGACTCTTCAAATCAAACCTGCTCATAATTAATAAACATAAATTTCTATATGACAAAAATTACATAGGCTAAGAAATATACCAATGCCTGTAAATATTTGACATGACACGACGAAATACTAGAAATCTTTTACTCTTATTACCAGTATAGCTAAATTATGTAACTGATAATGTAATCTTTTACTTTGCAAGGAATTTCAGTTCCACCCAAATGCCTGCTGCCATTAAATGACATCTTACTAATATAACATTTTCAGCATGTCATGATTTAACGGAGATATATATATTCAGGCAAGAATTTGACAAAACCACAAAAGGCGAGGATTAGGCTATCTGGAAGCATCATTTATTCCAGCAATAAAATTGAAACTTTATTTTACTAGGTGTAAACCTATTTGTCAACTGCCTAATAAAATCAACTTACTACCCCCAAAAACATTGTTGCGTGATAAAGGGTAATTATAATGAAATCGTGAAAAAATTGCCCAATAATATCAGATTTTATATTAGATCGATTCTGAATTGAAACATAATGAGTGCAAATTCCTTCAAATTGCTGGTGAAGCTTGACTTGCGAGATTTTAACAATTGATTAGATGCTACAGTATTGTTATGTTTGTTGATTCGTTGATACAGGTCACATGTTTAACGTGTACCGATGAAAAGGAAAGGGCCTGTCACCGAGAAATCTAATCAAGGTGGTTTAGTAAGTTTGTTACAGATCACAAACTTTTAGATCATGGACATAGACTTGAGAGAAAAGATTTTTTTACAAAAGGTGACGAAAGGGGAAAGGACCACCGAGTTTCGACACCTGTCAACTTAAAAGATTTATCTCTAAAATACCTTTAACTGTATGAAAAGTAAATGTCATTTTTGTTTCAAAAGATGCTTGTTACAATATGAAACTAAACATGTATCACTATGAAACAAACTTGATAAAAACAATCGTATCTCAAATTCTATAAAGCACGATCCTGTCAAAAGTATTTTGACAATGAAAAATCAGTAACTTTCTTTCCCACAGTATATATTATTCTAAAAACAACTGACCATAAATGAACTTGTATAACAACAATAGAAACAAGGGTAGGGAAATATTATAATTATGACTTTACTTCACCACCCATACAAAACATTAAGCCGCGGTTGAAACCATGATGTTCATTTAACATTTGTCCAAGCATAAATTTCTGAAATCCGATCATGGCTTGGTGAAATATCTCATTAATTTTGGCTGATTTTTTCTTTAAGATAGCCTTGCACATGATAATTGTAACTGTGAAGTTACGAAGATGCGTCTTATTATTCTAGACTGGGACCTATTTTTACACGATCAAAGAATCGGCAATTAAGACATTGAAAATCACTTATGTCTTCCTCCAACTGACTGAATTGTAGCCTCTGAAAAAAGTTTAGCTGCAAGTTTAAGATTGTATCTGTATAAAAGGCAGAGGGCATTAAGTACAAACTTTAATTTGCTATTTAAATTGATTTTGAATTGG